CCACAGCCAACTCACCTGGTCAAGGCAAGATTTCTCTGTACCACGCGCGTGGCTTTACATTCGTGGCGTCGGGGTAAACGCCACCTCCAACGGCTACTTCCCTCAACTCCTTCCGTTCGCCTTACATCCCGTAGAACTCGACGAAGTAGAAGTCCAAGGCAAAGGTCGCAGAAATGCAATACAAATTGTTCACACAATTTCTGTATCCCGACACCCAACCACAAGGTGTCCTTCGTTGGTCTTGTCCTTGATTTTTACCCAGAAGCTCTTAACCTGATCATGGCTGTTTCTCGGAGGCAGCTCTTTGCAATCTATCCATTCCTTAGCATAGAGTGCAACCCCCCAGCCCTTCCTTCTCAACCTATCTCTTCTGAAAATCTTCTAGCCCTCAATTTTTGTGTTCCAGTTGTGTGACTTGTCCCACCATGTTTCCATGATAGCAATTAGGTCATAATTTTCTAATTGCACCATGATTTGTATTGTGCATCACTTGTTTATCTCAGGTGTTATTTCTCTCTCCCTCTCTCTTTTTCATCATTGTTATTATTATCATTAGTATTGTTAGTATTATTGTCACCAAAAATCGTCAGAAAGAAACAAAACCCTCCAACATTACCTTTTAAGTGTTAGTGAGTCAGGCATTACTTTATTCTGGCCAGAGATATGTAGTGAATCATTTCAGTGATGCCTATGGATTTTTTGATTTTTAGCTTTTTGTAGATTTCAGAAGTAGCTGCATTATATCCCTCATCCTTTAGCACAGTAGTTTACACATTTTCCCAACACTGTTACCTCATTCCATATCACTCCCTAAAAATTCCATTAGCGTGTTTAGACTTCCCTCAAGGTAGGCCTTCATTCTGTTTAAGAACACCTGCACCCTGACTTGAACAACAAGATATCACACAGGCAAAGCGACCTTCAAACCCAGGACTTTGGAGAAGGTCCAAGTGAAGCCAGGTAAAACCTGGAAAGCAAATTTAGTAGAGCAATACAAGAATTATAATGGCCCATCTTCGCGAACGAAGATTTTGGGAAAGGTCTTTTTACCTTTCCAGCCTGCGCAATGGATTTTTTAGGTGAGACACAGCCTGCGCTGAACTGAGCCCACCCTTTAATCCTAAGGTTCATCTGCCGGGGCCAAGCAAGCTTGGACAATGGCAGTGAGGTCCTCAGGATGTAGGTTTGTTTAGAGTGACCTTCTCATAGATGGATGGCCTCACAGGGCTAACGGGTTCCATCTGCCCGGGAGGGACTGGGAATTGAACCTGGGTTGCAGCGGTGAGAGTCCCGCATGCTAACCACTAGGCCACCAGGGGTCCCTACAAGAATTAGAGAGTTAAATACAAAATGCAGGCTTTAAGCAAAAGCATAGAGAACTCAGTATTAAGAAACAGCGGAGATAATAAATTCACTAGAATACAGGATGCTCTGACATAAAAGAACATAAAGCATGGACAGAAAGAACTAAAATTGCTAGCATACACAAAAAAGGATATATAGAAGAGAAACAAAGGGAGATAAGAAAAGAGACAAGCCAAGAAATCAGGTACTCTTGCCAGACACTGGAAGTCCCTGCCAAAGGCACAAGGAAATTACCCAAATTAGGGAAGGTTGAAAAGTTTATGAAGATGATGATGAAAAGGACACTGAGTTCATGAGATGAAGAGCAGGAACGACCCCTGAAATTCTCCCCAAATTGGAGACCACGCCTCTAACTCCACCTCAACTCCGCCTCAACTCCGCCTGTTATGAATATTAAAAATAGATGTTGCAATATAATGAATATTCATAATATGTGATGCACTTGCTTGGCAAAAAGTGTATAAAAGGCTCAGCTGTGAGTTACTTGAATGGAGCAGTTTGTCCAGGGCGACCTGGGCTGCTCCCCGGCCGTAAATAAATACCTCCTGCTTATAGACTAAAAATTCTGTCTCTGAGCAGTTTCTCCGCGCCTTCTTTGGGGCACAAATTGGCATCACAAGGACTGAACATGCTGTGACAAAGAGGAGGGTGAGGAAGAGGGTGTCCCAGAGCCCCCTGACTCAATTTCCAGAGGGGTGTGCCAGGGGGAAGTGCTGGGGGGCGGACAAATCTGGGATTGGTTGAGAAAATACCTTAAATTGTGGAACCCCATGGACACGAGAGGCGCGTCAATATGTATTCCTGTGGGCCTCAGGCCTGAAATTAAAGGACCTACCCTCTTTATCTTATCTTATACACTAAGTTGGCTCGGAGTCCTGTTTTCTGTGGTCTCTTAAGGCAACACCAGCTACATATATGACCTTTCAAGACTTCACGTATTTATACATGTAAGAAACAAAGAAATTATTGTTCATTGGTTCGAAGTCACACAATTCTCTTCATTAATCAGTATTCTATTTTTTATTGGTGTGCTGGTTTAAAGGTAAAATGGCAGGAGAAATGAACCCAACTCAAAAGAGATTATAAGTCAGAGTTACAATTTAATAAAAATAATACAATAAATACAATTATATGGACAAACAAAAGCCCATGGTGCCGAGGAAAGCCTGTGTTTCCTTCTTGCTGGTTGGTGGGGACATGACTGCTATTTTGTTAATCACCTCTGTTGGAATCTGGTGACATCCATCTTGCCACTTCACTCCTAGAACTGGATTTCCTGATCAGGTCCCTTGACCTTACTTTGTTTAATGGCAAAACCAGTTCTTAGGAGAATCTGGATGATCTTCTCTCCTTTCTCGAAGACTTCCCCCGCTGTGTTCCCCCATACAATGATGTCATCAATGTACTGTAGATGTTCTGGAGCCTCGCCCTTTTCCAGTGCAGTCTGGATCAGTCCATGGCAAATGCTGGGACTGTGTTTCCACCCCTGGGGCAGTCAATTCCAGGTGTACTGCACATCCCTCCAACTGAAGGCGAATTGTGGCCTGCACTCCGCTGCCAAAGGAATGGAGAAAAAGGCATTGGCAATGTCAATGGTGGCATACCACTTGGTTGCCTTGGACTCCAGCTCGTACTGGAGCTCCAGCATGTCCAGCACAGCAGCACTCAGGGGTGGTGTGACTTCATCAAGTCCATGGTAATCCACCATCAACCTCCACTCTCTGCTGGACTTACGCACTGGCCGCATAGGGCTATTAAAGGGTGAGTGGGTCTTGTTGACCACCCCCTGGGTCTCCAGTTCACAGATCATTTTATGTATAGGAGTCATGGAGTCTCGGTCGGTGTGGTATTGCCAATGGTGTACTGTTGCTGTGGCCATTGGTACCAATTGTTCTTCAACCTTCAGCAGTCCCACAGCAGAGGGGTCCTCTGAGAGACCAGGCAAGGTGTTCAACTGTCTAATTTCCTCTGCCTCCACAGTAGCTATGCCAAAAGCCCAACTAAGTCCTTTTGGGCCTTTGAAATACCCACTCCTCAGGTAATCTATGCCAAGGATGCACGGGGCCTCTGGGCCAGTCACGATGGGGTGTCTATGCCATTCCTTCCCAGTCAAGCTCACTTCAGCTTCCAGTACAGTCAGCTGTTGGGATCCCCCTGTCACCCCAGAAATAGAGATGGATTCTGCCCCTACGTATCTTGATGGCATCAAAGTACATTGTGCGCCGGTGTCAACTAAAGCCTTTTATCTTTGTGGGTCTGATGTGCCAGGCCACCGAATCCACACAATCCAGTAGACCCTATTGTCCCTCTCCTCTACCTGGCTAGAGGCAGGGCCCCCCAGGTCCTGGTCATGGTACTCACTGCACTCTTCTTGTAAGTATGACCTGAAGGTCCCTTCAAGAGGATCAGACGTATCATGATTCCTGTACCGTCTGGAGTCTTGCCCACGAGAGACCAGAGCAGCATTTATCCTCAAAAAGTTTCTTGTGGTACTTGTTCTTCTTTTCGATTCATGTACCCGGGTTGCTAAGGAAGAGATGGGTTTTCCATCCCACTTCCTCATATCTTCTCCATGCTCATGGAGGTAAAACCATAGATTGCCACGTGGAGTGTACCCTCTCTCCTTAGCTGGGGGACGCCTGCTCCTGATAGCAGACACTTTTGTTTGTCCTAGGGAGATGTGGAAGATCCCTTGCTTCATTTCCTCTCTTAGCTTCTGGTGGCCCTCTTCAGTCTTCTCTTCCAGGCTTCGGACATGTTCGGCCAGTTTGGTTTCCACAGATGAGATGCGGGCTCGTAATGGGGCGGTGACAGTGTCTTCATAAATCCTGAGTTTACTAACCAACGCACCCACCTTGTCCTCTCCCTCTCTCCATTGCAATGTTGCTAAGTAGCGGGAATACATTTCTGGCTGGAGCCGTGCAAACTTTAACCACATCTGGGGTGTGCACTGTACACCATCTGGACTTTTAGGGAATCTTTCGTCCTCTGAAAAGATTATCACCAGTACGGCTAATTCCCTTAAGCACTGGATACCTTGTTCCATCATGTTTCACTGTCTTTGCTGTACGTGGAGGTCCTCCTTGCAAAGATATCTCTCCCTCACACTGGACAGCACTCATTGCCAGAGACTGAGAGTTTCCTGCCTCTTTCCAATCCCCTGATCAATGACTACATCTCAAGACAGGGATCCCAGTTGCCTTGCTTCACTCCCATCTAGAATTGTATCATTAGCTGCGGTGTCCCAGATTCGGAGCAACCAGGTCAGAATGGACTCATTCGCCTGTTGCGTGAACTCTCTCCGGAGCTCACGTAGCTCACCCAGGGATAGGGATTAAGTGATTATTTCCAGCTCTGTCTCCTCCACTGGATGTGAAGGTCCTGCCTCTTTGTCATCATTCACTATACGAACTGATTTAGTCTATGATTTCCTTTTCTGGACAGGGGCGACTGCTATTGGTTTTGGTTGTCCTTCTGGCTCCTCGACGGTTTGTGTGGACACGGTACTGGTTGATTTATTTCTTTTTCCCTCTGACTCAGCCATGGTTTGGGTGGACGTGGTGCCTGTGGATTTGCTCCTTCTCTTCTCCCCCTGACAGTGCTGTACCATGTCAAGTAGTGTCCGGTAGGCAGTGGCCAGGGCCCAGCAGGTTGCTGTGAGCTGGTCATCTCTGGAGCTGCCAGAGCATTTTTCCTTTACCAATCTTATCACGCTAACAGGATCCTGCAGTTGTTCGGGGTGAATTTCCAGATCATTGGAGGAGAGAACTTCTCCAAATACTGGCCGATGTCCTCCCACTTCCCATGCACCTCAACATTATCCATTCCCAGGGCAGGCCTCCAGACAACCTCTCTAGAAGGCCCTGTTCTGACCCTAAGCGTGGTGTAGACAGTACAGAGCAGACAAAGCAACACTAACAACAGCACTACGCTGTCTTAAACATCAAAAGGAAACTCAGTATTTTCAAAGACTCTTGTAGCAGGTCTGAAGGGGAAGAAGGAGATGAGAGGCTGGAAACAATCATTCCTTCCTGTTCCCCCAAAAGGCTGGGTGCGATTTTCAATGAGGTCCCAGAGGTAGCAACCCAAACCAGGACAGGCAAACAAGACTAAATACACATTCACAATTAAACTCACTGCTTCTGATGCTATGACGACATAAACACAGTATATTAATAAAGCAATTTTGATCCCTCTCCCTGGTCTTAAAGAGAGCATCAAAATAGGCAGATAGTTCCCCATATGTGGAAATATGAACAGGCTCAGATACAACATCCACGTGAATACATCAAGCAACATGGTGATCACGGAGTTTCTGTATCCAAATGCACAAACACTTAAAATGAAATTGTAATTCTGACTTCTCTCTCTGCCTCACATTGGGCACCAAAAATGTGCTGGTTTAAAGGTAAACTGACTGGAGAAATGAACCCAACTCAAAGGAGATTATAAGTCAGAGTTGCTATTTAATAAAAATAATACAATAAATACAATTATACAGACAAACAATTGGTTTTAACCCACAAAACCCAGATGTATAACCCAGTACCCTGGGGCACGAACAAAATGGTGTTCGTTGGCCCCCATGCAGAGCCCCACGTGGTCCCCCTGAGTCCAAAGTAAAAGGAGAGGGAAAACCTGTTGGTGAGAGTGCTGGTCACAGTCTGGTCAAGGGTGATGATCGCAGTCCAGTCGAGGGTGGTGATTGCAGTCCAGTCAAGGTTCCTACGGCAATTCGGGTTTCCAATTTGGGCACGCTGTGTGATCGAAGCAATCCACTTGCTCCATGTAGCATCAGTGGCACGATGCGTAGAGGGCACCTTTCCCTTGAATATCCAGCTCAGCACTGGTAGTCCAGGTGTCAGGAGGAGTTGTGATTCTGTGCCAATCACCTCTGAGGCAGCTTGTACTCCTTCATAAGCTGCTAGGATCTCCTTCTCTGTTGGGGTGTGGTTGGCCTCAGATCCTCTGTAGCTTCGGCTCCAGAATCCAAGTGGGCGGCCTGGGGTCTCGCCAGGCACTTTTCTCCAGAGGCTCCAAGAAGGACCATTATCCCTGGCTGCAGAATAGTGTACATTCTTCACATCTGGTTCTGTCCTGACTGGCCCAAGGGCTACAACGTGGGCAATCTCCTATTTCACCTGTTCAAATGCTTGCTGCTGTTTGGAGCTCCAGTGGAAGTCATTCTTCTTATGGATTACCAAGTAGAGAGGGCTTACCATCTGACTGTACTCGGGGATGTGCATCCTTCAGAAACCTATGGCACCCAGGAAGGCTTGTGTTTCTTTCTTGCTGGTCAATGGGACCGTTGCTGTGATCTTGTCAATGACTTCTGTTGGGATCTGATGACATCCGTCTTTCCACTTCACCCCCAGGAACTGGATCTCTCGGGCAGGTCCCTTGACCTTACTTTTCTTTATGGCAAAACCAGCTCCCAGGAGAATCTGGATGATTTTCTTTCCATTCTCAAAAACTTCCTCTGCTGTGTCCCCCCATACGAAAATGTCATCAATGTACTGTAGATGTTCTGGAGCCTCACCCTCCTCTAGTGCAGCCTGGATCAGTCCGTGGCAGATGGTGGAACTGTGTTTCCACCCCTGGGGCAATTGGTTCCAAGTGTACTGCACACCCCTCCAAGTGAAAACAAACTGTGGCCTACACTCTGCTGCTAAGGGGATGGAGAAGAATGCATTTGCAATGTCAGTAGTGGCGTACCACATCACTGCCTTGGACTTCAGCTCGTACTGGAGCTCCAACATGTCTGGCACAGCAGCACTCAGCGGTGGGGTAACTTCATTCAGGCCACAATAGTCCACAGTCAATCTCCATTCTCCATCATACTTATGCACAGACCAGATGGGGTTGTTGAAGTGTGAATGGGTCTTGCTGATCACCCCTTGGCTCTCCAGCTCACGGATCATCTTATGGATGGGGATCACAGAGTCTCAGTTTGTTTGGTACTGTTGATGATGCGCTATTGTGGTGGCAACTGGCACTCGCTGTTCCTCAACCTTCAACAATCCCACAGCAGAAGGGTTCTCTGAGAGGCCTGGTAATGAATTCAACTGCTTAGCCACCTCTGCCTCCACAGCAGCTATTCCAAAAACCCATCGATGTCTCTTTGGGTCTTCGAGATACCTGTTCCTGAGGTAGTCAATGCCCAGGATACATGGGGCATCTGGACCAGTCACAATGGGGTGTTTCTGCCAGTCCCTCCCGGTCAAGCTCACCTCAGCTTCCAACACGGTCAACTCTTGAGACCCGCCTGTCACCCCAGAAATGGAAATACTCTCTGGTCCCACATGTCCTAATGGCATTAACATACATTGAGCAGCAGTGTCAACCAAAGCCTGGTATTCTTGTGGGTTGCCCATCCCTTCCAAAAAGTACCTCCAATAGTGCCATTGCCCTCAGGCGTAGGATCCCCTCTTCTATGGTCTTCCATGCTTTTGAATAATTGTCTGCCTGCAAGGGATCTCTGTAAATAAACCTCTCCCTCACACTGTCCAAAAGCCATGCCCAGAGAGACAGAGGCTTTGATTCTCTCACGAACGCCTCCTCGATACCCACATCCTGGGCAATAGACCTCAAGAACCTTGCTTCACTGCCATCAAGGTTTATGGCATCACCCGTAGAGTCCCAAACTCGGATCATCCAGGTCAGAACACGCTCATTTGGGCAACGAACAATGTCTGCCCGTAAGCTCCAGAGGTTGTTATATGATAAGGACTCAGTAATGATTTCTGGCTCTGGACCAGCCACCTGTGTGAGGGTCCTGCCAATCCCCATCATCGTCAACTGGGTGAACCAATTTGGTCTTACATTTCCTTTTTTTGATAGGGGCAACCTCCATTGGCTTGGTCTGTCCCTTTGATTTGGCCTTATCCTGAGTCACCATGGTATCAGGCATCTTGTTTTCATCTTTCCCTTTTCCCTGGAAGTGCTGCACCATACCGAGCAGCTTCCGGTAGGCAATGGCCAAAGCCCCACATGCAGCTGCCAGCTGCCTCTCCATGGGTCTACCATGACCTCTCTCCCTCATGACTTTCATTATTTTTGTAGGGTTTAAGAATTGTTCGTGGGTGAACTTCCATGCTGTAGGAGCCGAACAACTTTCTAGGAATTTACCCATATCCTCCCAGAACCCATGCCACTCGAGGTTTCCCACCCCTGGGGCAGGCTTCTGGACACATTCTCAATAATTCTTGACCCTAGCTTCATCTATTAGGTATACCATAATGGCACAAACTTGCACAAAAAGCCCCAAAAGTAAAATGTCTCCAACATCTAAGGAGAATTTAAACTTCCCAGAGGCAATTGTATTGGATCCAAAGGGAAACTGGATGAAGGGTTGGGCAAATATACCCCCCTGCATTTCTCCATAGGGATGGGTGCCATTATCCTTAAACCCCCAGAGGAAGCAACTTAGGCTAAAGCAGTAGTGCATCCTTGGGGACATACTCCTGATGAAAATCACAGGTGCTGAGTTTGCCATGTCATAAACCCAATGCACAAACTCGAAGGTACTTATCACTATGAGAGTCTTAATATCTGAGCTGAAACACATCAACAAATGGGACAGATATCTTGGCATGGTTATGTGCCAGAGGAAAGCAACAACCCCAAGCATCATGGTGCCTACAGGTTCAACCCGTGTGTAAATCACACAAGGGCAGTTATTCCTTTTCCACCTTTCCTCTCTTTGGGCCCTGTGTTGGGCGCCAATTATGTCTCAGTTTAATGAGACTGAAGTGTTTTGCTAAGGAGGATGAGTTATGAGGAAGACCAAGCTCCTCCCTCTAAGCAATTGTAAATCTGAAATTAAGAGGCTCCAATTGAGGAAGTATGGAGAAAGAAAAGATAGTAACCCTTTATTAAAGGATATATGTGCATTGACAGAACAACAAAAGAACACAAAAACAACTAAACTATAATCCTGTACCCAAAGTGCCCTCCAAAAAAAACCCCAGTTCAGTACTTTCCACCCTTTGGTGCAATTCTAACCATGATCAGAAGGGGGCACTGTTGAATCACTGGAGGCGGAGAGCCTGCAGTTGCTCTGTGGTGGTCGGCAGGGGGCGCTGTTGGGCTCTGGCAGTCGCCGTGTGGGGACCCCAGTGCGCAGGAAAAGCTGAAATGGAGATCTCCCCCCCCCACCAAGAAGGGGAAGGGGAAAAGGGGAAAAAGGGGCTCTTCCCACAGACTCACGCTGTTGGCGACTGGCTCCGGCTGAGACTCCCCCAAAGGTTCCTTCGCAGAAGGGCCAAGCCTCTCTGATGAAATCTGAGCAAGTCCGGGCTGGGGGAAGAACAGGGTGCAGGAGAACGGAGGCGAACTGGGACCGGAAGCAGCCAGATGACCCCTCCAAAAACAAAACGAACTTTGGAACCCCCCGACACAAACACCCTCCCTGAGTCAGGGCAAAAGTGGAGTGACTGCCGTTTCCCAAGGAGAGGAAAAAAACCCAAACTCATCACCTCCCCCCCACACTCTTCAGAGGGCCATCAGTCTGGAATGCAGGTTGTTGACCAGTTCTTTTGTGTGTGTGCATCACCCTAGGCAAACACCCTCCCCCTCCCTCATTCAACATCTTTCTTTTACAGTGATGCAGGGGAAAGAAAAAATCCCAAGCTCGTTTTTTTTAGAATAAGTAAACCTATGACACTGTATATACATGTGTTTGTGTGCGCCTATTGGGAATACATGCTAGCCTCATTATTGATTGGACCTGTGAGCATGGAGCTGCGGCAGCAGTTAATGGTGATGCCTCAGAGCTTTTTGAATTTTTTTACTTCTGTAGATTTTAGAAGTAGATGTGTAGTAAATGTAGATTTTAATGTAGCTGTATTATATTCCTTACCCTTTAACATAGTGGTTTACACATACCCAACCCTATTACCCCATTTCATATCAATCCCTCTAAATTCTGTTAGAGTGTTTAGTCTTCTTTACAAGGTCATCATCATCATGGCTAGGCTTTGCAAATGAAGATTTAAGAAGGACTCTACCCATGCTTGCTACAAACGCCCTGAGGGCTAAAAAGGCCAATGAGAGATAGACAAGTCGGGTTGCAAAAGGCACAGCGGAAAGTCTCCTTAGGCGGTATGGGTTCTTTCTACGTTGTCTCTTCTCCTCAAGAATGATTCTGTGTGTGTTCTCAAAAGAAGCAGCAGTGTTATGAATAGTGTGTCTCCATGTCTCCCAATTGGAGGCCAGAGTAGACCAATGATGATGATCAATATGACCAAAGTTGAGATATTGTTTCAGGGAGTCCATGTATCTCCTCTTCAGGGCTCCTCTCTTGCGGCAGCCAGTGGCAAGTTCGCCATAGAGCACAATCTTAGGGAGGTAGTAATCCTCCATCCTGGAGACGTGCCCTGCCCAACGCAGCTGTGTTCTCAGCAACATGGCCTCAATACTCGTAACTGCTGCCTGTTCAAGAACAGACGCATTAGTCACGTAATCAGTCCAGTGGATGTTTAGGATTGTATGGAGGCAGCGCTGATGGTTATTAGAAAGGGTTCAGAAAGTGCATTGCCATATCTGACTTGGCCGCACTGATCCTCATGAAGCAAAATGATCATTTTGAGAAACTTGGGGGGACATCCCAATCGTTCCAAAATCTGCCACAGACCTTTTCTGCTCACAGTATCAAAAGTTTTGGTGAAATCAACAAAGGTTACATAGAGTCCTTTGTTCTGTTCCCTACACTTCTCTTGCAGTAGTCTGAGAACAAATACCATGTCTGTAGTGCTCCTATTGGCTCTGAAACCACATTGGCTTTCAGGTAGAAGTTCTTCTGTGATAACAGGTATTAATGTGTTCAAAAGTATTCTTGCAAGGATTTTACCAGCAATGGAGAACAGAGTAATACTTCGGTAATTTGAACAGTCTGATTTATCTCTCTTCTTATACAAGGTGATGATGACTGCATCACAAAGATCTGATGGTAGTTCACCTAGTTCCCAACAATGCACCACGAACTCGTGAAATTTAGCATGGAGTGCTTGGCCTCCATGCTTCCAGACTTCAGGTGGAATTCCATCAACCCCAGTTGCCTTGCCAGTTTTCACCTGCTGTATGGCCTTGAGAGTTTCTCCCATAGTAGGGGCAATATCCAGTTCATTTTTCACCGGTTGTTGTGTAATGTACTGAATTGCTGAGCCTTGAACTACACGGTTGGTACTGAAAAGAGTCTGAAAATGTTCAGACCATCGATTCATAATGGAAATTTTATCTGTGAGAAGCATTCGACCATCTGCACTAAGTAAAGGGCTTTGAACCTGGTGTGTAGGTCTGTACACTGCTTTCAAAGCCTCATAGAATCCTCTGTAATCACCTGAATCTGCACATAATCAAATCTTTCCTGCTAGATTGATCCACCACTTGTTCTGGATGTCTCGAAGTTTCTGTTGGAGCTTACTGCATGCAAGATGAAAGACTGCTTTTCTTACATAAAAAGATGGCTGAGCAAGGTGTGCTTGGAGAGCAGTTCTCTTCTTTATCAACAATTCCTGGATTTCTTGATTGTTTTCATCAAACCAGTCCTTGCTCTTCTTGAGGGAGAACCCTAAGGATTCTTCAGAGGATTGCAGGATGCTGCTTTTAATATGTTGCCAAAGTGCTTTGGGACAGGAATCTATGGAATGATCTTTGAGTCTAGTTTGAAGATTTGCCTGGAAGCTGACTCTCACTGTAGCTGTTTGAAGATTGTTAACTTGGAGTCTCCTCCTTGGAATACCGCCCCTTTTAGGTTTGAACTTAAAGTGGAAGTTAAGTTTACAATGCACAAGGCGATGATCTGTTTGACATTCGGCACTAGGCATCACTCGGGTATGATGAACATCGCGAACATTTCTCTGTCGCACCAAGACGTCAGTGAGGTGCCAATGCTTGGATCAAGGATGCATCCAGGTTGTCTTCAAACTATCTTTCTGCTGAAAGATAGTGTTGGTCATGGTGAGCTGCTGCTCTGCACAAAACTCTAGCAGAATGTGTCCATTATCGTTGCAGTTTCCAACACCATGCTTGCCTAATACTCCTTTCCAGGCTTCAGAGTTTTTTCCTACTCTGGCATTGAAATCACCAAGGATTATGATCTTATCATCTGCAGGAACCTTTTGGATAAGGCGGTGCAGGTCAGTGTGGAAACTCCATTTCATATCAATCCCTCTAAATTCTGTTAGAGTGTTTAGTCTTCTTTTCGAGGTAGAATTGTAGAAAAACACCTCTGTTTAAGAACATTGCACCCTAGGCCTGGACCAGAAGATATCACACAGACAAAGCAACCTTCAAGCCCAGAACTTTGGAGGAGCTCCAAGGACTGTATGTGCTGTGAAGAAGATGAAGATGAGGAAGAAGGGGTCCCAAATGCTCCCAGACCCAATTCCCAAAGGGGCATGTCAGGAGGCAGAACTGGGCAGAAGCAGGGGGTGGATAGATCTGGGATTGGATGGACCTTATTATAAAATCATAGAACCACTGTCTGGGTGGGCGCACATGGTGTGAATTCCCCTAGGCCTGTGGGCCTGATTAGAGGACCTTCTCTCTTTATCTTATACACTAAATTGGTCTGGAGTCTTTTTCTCCGTGATTTCTTTAGGCTACAATGGTTAATGCGTGAACCTTTTTCATGAGCCCCCTTTCCCTGAACTTTCATTGATGAGCATGGTGTCATATGGTATGGAATATATCTTTGGTCAATTTTGGTCAGCTGTCCCAGCTTTCTCCCCTCCTTATCACTTGTCCACCCCCAGCCTGCTCACATTTGAGGGGGGGAGGAGAGATAAAGCCTTGACACTGCTCTGGAAGCAATGTTCAGCAATAACTAAAATATTGGAATGTGGGGTGGGTTGACCCTGCCTGGCTGCCAGGTCCCCATCAAGCTGCTCTCTCACTCCCCCTCCTCAGCAGGACATGGGGAGAAAATAGGATGAAAAAGCTCATGGGTCAAGATAAGAACAGGGAGATCTCTCACCAATTACCATCACGGGCAAAAGGAGAAGAAGATTAATTTAATTCATTGCCAATTACAAATAGAGTAGGATAGTGAGAAGTGAAGACAAAGCTAAAAACACCTTCTCCCCACCCTCTCCCTTTTTTGAGGCTCAGCTTAACTTCTTCATTACAGACCTCTGCCTCCTTCTTTCCCTTCAAGTGGTGCAGGGCAGACAGGGAATGGGGATTGCGGTCAATTCATAATGCTTTGTCTCTGCTGCTCCTTCCTCACACTTTTTACCTGCTCCATTGTCTAGTTCCTCCCATGGGATACAGTCCTTCATGAACTTCGCCAACATGGTCCTTCCCATGGGCTGCAGTTCCTAAAGAACTGCTCCATTATGGGTCTGTTCCACAAGGTACAGTCCTTCAGGAACAAACTGCTGGAGCTTGGGTCCCCCACAAACTGCAGTTCCTGCCAGAAAACCTGCTTCTGTGTGGGGCCACAGTTTCTGCCAAGAACCTACTCGTGTGGGCTCTCCATGAGCTGCAGATGGATATCTGATCCACCATGGACCTCCATGGGCTGCAGGGTAGCAACCTGCTTCACCATGGTCTTCTCCACAGGCTGCAGTGGAATCTTTGCTCTGATGTCTGGACCACCTCCTTGCCCTCTTTCTTCACTGGTCTTGGTTTTCTGCAGGGTTGTTTCACATTTTTCTCACTCTCCTCTCTCACAGCTTCTGCACAGCATGTTTTCCCCTTTCTTATATATGTTATCACGTAGGCTACATCAGCTTCGCTGATTGGCTCAGCTTTGGCCAATGAAGGGTCCATTTTGGAGCCAGCTAGAAATTGTTCTGTCTGACGTGGGGGCAGTTTCTGGCATCTTATCATAGAATCATAGAATCATTAAGGTTGGAAAAGACCTCTAAGGTCACTGAGTCCAACCATTAACCCAGCACTGCCATGTTCACCACTAAACCATGTCCCCAAGTGCCACATATACACATTTTTTTAACTCTTCCATAGTGGTGATTCCACCACTTCCCTGGGTAGCTTGTTCCAATGCCTGATCACCCTTTCAATGAAGAAATTTTTCCTAATATCTAATCTAAACCTTCCCCAGCACAACTTGAGGCCATTTCATCTCATTCTGTCACTTACTACTCTTTTCCTCAGAGAAATAAACTAGATCACATTTTTAAATTTATTCTAGATGTCAGCCACTAGCAAGCCTGACCATCTGCCTGACCACTTCAGGGCTGAACAAAAGTTAAAGCATTCAGGGTTTGAGTACCCTTTCCATAAAGAAATTCTTCCTAATATAAAGTCTGGACCTCCACTGGCACAGCTTTGAACCATTCCCATGCGTCCTGTCACTGGATACCAGGGAGAAGAGTTCAGCACCTCTCTCTCCACTTCCCCTTCTCAGGAAGCTGTGGAGAGCAATGAGGTTACCTCAGTCTCCTTTTCTCCAAACCAGACAAACCCAAAGTCCTCAGTTGCTCCTCATAGGATATGCCTTCCAGCCCCTTCACCAGTCTTACTGCCCTCCTCTGGGTGCATTCAAGGACCTTCTTAAATTGTGGGGCTCAGAACTGCACACAGTACTCAAGGTGAAGCCACACCAATGCTGAATACAGTGGGATAATCACCTCTTTTGACTGCCTGGATATGCTGTGTTTGATGCCCCCCAGGATGCAGTTTGCCCTCTTGTCTGCCAGGGCCCACTGCTGACTCATACTGAACCTGCTGCTGACCAGCACCCCCAGATCCCTTTCTGCAGGGCTGCTCTTCAACTACTCCTCTGTGGGGTGAAGTCGCAGCCCCACAATTGAAGCTTGAGAGGTTTGAGGTATTGCAAAGTGTTAGGTCCTGTTCCATGGGAACAGTGGAGCTAATTAGATAGTTTCCATAGACACAGCCTTGAGTTATAAAGAGTACAAGGTTAAAGCTGTTTGGCTGAGTGCAGGTGCTGCATGCCTAAATGTTTTTGCAAGAATATGTTTATATTGTATGCATGAGAAAGTTGAAGGGAGCGATCTCAATAAAAGCTGCCTGCTACGCTGAGCAGGCAGACATCTCTGCCTCATCACCCTATTGCGTGTCGTGTGTTTTTCTTCCCCCACGGACTAAGACCTACCGACAGATACCCTACAACACTCCTCTCACAATCTGGCATTACTCCATCCCAGGTGCAGAATCTGTCCTTTGGACTTGTTAAATTTCATGCCACTGATTATTGTCCAATGCTCAAGTGTATCCAGATCCATCTGCAAGGCCTCTTATCCTTCAAGACAGTCAACTGACCCTAGAATTGAACCCCGAGGGACACCGCTGGTGATCTGTCACCATAAAGTTGTCCCAGGAGGACAGCCTGCTTCACCATGGTCTTAACCACAGGCTGCAGGGGAATCTCAGCTCTGGCATCTGGAGCACCTCCTCCCCCTCCTTCTTCACTGGCTCGGCCATGGCCAGCTGTGGGTCTGTCTTGGAGCTGGCTGGCATTGGCTCTGTCAGACATAGGGGAAGCTTCCAGCAGCTTCTCAAAGAAACCACCTCTGTAGTCCTCTGCTCCCCCCTGCCCCGCCCAACCCTGCTACCAAAACCTTGCCACACAAACCCAATACACCATGCCAACACCCAGAATACCATCCTGGGCCTTGAAAAAGTAATTCTGTTGCACAGGATCCCGAAAAGAATTGAGTCAGATGACAGGACTCATCTACAAACAATCTCTTAGACACCTGGGGAAAGGAACACTGCACCCATTGGGTGTACTACATTCCCCATCACTGACAAATGCTGGGAAAACTGAATGATACAATGGACTGTTAAAGACTACACTGAGAGCAATAGGTGCTGGCACATTGAAGCACTGGGATGCAAATTTAGCAGAAACCTTATGGCTGGTTAACACCAGAGGATCTGACACCTGACAGGATGCCCCTTTCTCAGAAGGGAAAGTAAGTTCTGGCACAGGAGCTAGCAGGGCTCATTGACAGACCTTTAAACAAGCTTGGAAGGGGGAAAGTGTCGTAGTTTGACTCACCCAGCGTCCCCCTGTAGCTGGAAATGGTTAATTCCAGAGTGGCATTTCCGATGCAGAGCCAATCAAAAACTTAATAATGCCTCTGCAAAATTCCATATTTTATAGACTGGAAGAGAAGCACTGGTTGCACAGAAAGAATTGGAGCCATGAGGTAGCCGAGGGGAGCCCTGAGTTTGGGAGTGCCCCTGGGCACCCCGCGGCCCTGGCGCTATGGCCAGGGCTGTGGCAGTTCCTCGCTGTTTTCCCCTGTGAGTGGGGGGGACAGCAGCAGCGATCGTGAAACAGAGCAGAAAGAATTCCAGGCAGAGGAGAAAGAAACTTCAAGCAGTCTCGCTGCCACCTCCCCTGCCATGGCAGGGGGAGGGGGCAACTCGAGTTGAGACTGGAGCAGCAGAGACAGGCAGAGGGAGCCTGGAGGTCCCCTGCATGAGGTTTGGACCAGGGCAGCCGAAACAAGGAATGCAGGCGATGGCCTCCCCCGCCACACTGCAGCCAAGCTGATGCCTGCAACTGAAACAGAGAAGACAAACCGAGCAGACTTTTTCTGGGTAAGGACTTTAATGAAAACTATCAGGGTATAAGAATGAGCAAAAACCCAGAAAATCCTGCGACCCAGGAGGAAGAACGGACCCAATTTGGAGGAGTCCCAGAACCTTATCCCCTGGGAGGGACCATCCATGGAACAGGGGAAAAGACTCAAAAGCTTTAACTCCCTGTAGCCAGTGATGCAGACCATGGTGAAGTAAGTGTCCCCTTACAGCCCATGGAGAAGCCCTCGTTGGAGGCCGAGCAGCTGGGGGGGGTGCAGATGACCCCCCCTCCGTACCCCAATGAGAGAGAAAGAGACTTTAGCTATTGATCTGAAGGTTCTTCTTCTGGACTGATGTGGGAGGAGATCGAGGGGTGGTATAAATTGTATTAATACTGTGTATTTATTTGCTCTTTAGTTTCTATAGTTTTTATTCTGTTAGTAATAAATTTTGATATAATTCCCCCATGCTGGGTCTGTTGCCTGTCTGAAAACTTCTCTCAACATTTAAGCAGATTTGTGGGGGTTTGAAAAATTGGTTTTGGGAGTCAAACTACGACAGAAAGGAACAAAACCAGGCTTGCCAGTGATGAGTAATGGGATGATGTGCCAAAACTTGAGGAAACATGCACTAATGGGATCCCTCAATCTGCTTTACAAGGTGTTGGCTACAATGTACGACACCTGAAATGTTTCTACACCAATGCAAGCAGCATGAGGAACAAACAAGAGGAGTTCAAAGCTTTGGCCCAGTCCCAGAGATTTGACATCACTGGCATAAGTGAAACCTGCTGGGATGAGTCCTGTGACTGGAGTGCCCTGTTGGACAGTTACAGGCTCTTCAGGAGGGATAGGCAGGGCAGAAGAGGCCAAGGGGTGGCATGGTATGTAATAAAAGGGTTAGAATGTATGGAGCAGGAACCACTTGACCAATGGAGGATGCACCTTGCAAGAAACTGAGCATATGCAGCAGTAACCTAATCTGAGCTGTCTTTGGCAACCAATAACTCAACAAAACACTCCACATCTGCTTTCCTGAACACTCATCATAGAGATAGAACCCAAGTCATGGACTAAATAAACTCAGTCAACATTTGATGGGGGTGACCTGTAAGTCATTCCTGTAGGGAATGATATCTGTGTATATATTAAAGGACAGGAAGGGAATGGTGGTTAATAAGGATGCATTGGATAATGTAGGACCTGACCATGATGCAAATGGTATGGAAGAAGTAGTGGAGATTATACTGGGTGTGACTGGGATGGAGTTAATTTTCTTTGTAGCAGCCCGCATAGCACTGTATTTTGGATTTGTGACTAAAACAGGGTTGATAACACACCAGTATTGTGGCTATTGCTGCACAGTGCTTGCCCCATCCATGAGATGATTCATGAACTGGAGAGCCAGGGAGTGGTCAGCAAGACTCACTCACCCTTTAATAGTCCTATATGGTCAGTGCGTAAGTCCAATGGAGAGTGGGGACTGACAGTAGACTATCGTAGCCTGAACCAAGTCACACCACCACTGAGTGCTGATGTGTCAGACATGCTGGAACTTCAGTACGAACTGGAGTCCAAGGCAGCCAAGTGGTGCCACCATAGACATTGCTAATGAGTTTTTCTCCATTCCTTTAGCAGCAAAGTGGAGGCCACAGTGTGGTTTCACCTGGAGGGGTGTCCAGTAGACCTGGAACCAAGTTCCCCAGGGGTGGAAACACAGCCCCACTATTTGCCATGGACTGATCCAGACTGCACTGGAAAAGGGTGAGGCTCTAGAACACTTGCAACAAGTTGCTCCTCTATGGAGTTGCCACAGCATTCTCCTTGCAAATATTCTGTCACTTTATCAGGGTCCTGTAGTTGTTCAGGGGTGAACTTCCAAACCATTGGAGGAGAGAATTTCCCCCAAAACTGGCTCATTTTCTCCCACATTCCATGCCACTTGTGACTATCCACCCTTGGAGCAGATCTCTGAATGACCTGCCTAGAAATCTCTGTCCTGACTCTAGACATGGTGTTGACCACACTGAGGAGACATAGCAGACATAGCAACAAGAACGTGCTTTCCTTAACATCCAAAGGGAATTCAAAATTCTCAAAAGCTGTTGTAACAGGCCTGAAGGAGGAAAAGGGAATGAAAAGCTGGGGAAAATCATCCTCCCCTGTTCTCCCTACAGAGTGAGGTCCCAAAGGTAGCGCCTGAGGTAAGGGCAGGAGAGCAACACTGAATATATATCCCAAATGACCCTCATTGCCCTTGATGTTATGTCATAAACTGATATCCCACAGTACATCAACAAAGCAATCCTGATCCCTCTCCCTGCTCTGAAAAAGAACACCACAAGGAGCACATATGGGAACATATACAGGGTTAGGTACCACACCCACCTGAACAGACCACACCCACCTGAACAGACCAAGCAACATTGTGACCAGTGGCTCTGTACCTAATACAACAAATGCTTAGATCAAATTTGCTTCCAATCCACTCTGGACAGATCTATTGTTATCTCAACCCTTCATGTCTCATGTTGGGCACCAAATAAGGCTGTCATGGTTTAGGAATGGTATTTCCCAATTTAGTGCTCCCACTGAAACACTCCAAACCACACCCTGCTCTCTCTCTCCCCCGCTTTCCTCTCCCCCTCCCCTGTGTCAGGCTGGAGAGGAGAATTGGAGGCACAAAAGGCAAAGATCACAAGTTGAGATAAGAACAATTTACTGGAAACAGAAATGAAATAAGAAAATGAACAGTAACAGCAATAATATAAATAACAGTGTGTACAAGAGAGGTGAACAATTCACACGATTGCTCACCATGCAGAAACTGGCAATACACGAACCATCACCACATTACCCTGACCTGGAAGGAACCCCTTTCCCCATCCCTGGAAAATGACATAAGGTGGTATAGAATAACCTCTGGGTCCTAGCCATGCTCACTCCTGGCTACTGCAAAAATTAACCCTGTCCTGGCTGGAACCAGGACACATAGCATCAAGGTTTTCTCTTTTTCCTACTCTGTCCCGGCAGTAAGTAGGCTGGGGGTGGGCATGAGGTTGGGAAGGGACACAGGCAGGACAGCTGGCTCAAATTGACTAAAGGGGTATTCCATAGCATACAATGTCATGCTCAGCAATAACAATGGATGGGAGGGGGTTTTGGGGGAGACAGCCATTGTCAGACTGGCTGTGTATCTGCTTGTGGGAGGTTACAAGTGATTATTTTTGCATCACTTCTTTTATTTAGTTTGCTGGTGTTTTTTTCTCTCTTCTTTCCTTTGTTTATTGAACTTCTTAACCTTGATGCTTTTGCCCTTCTAATTGTCTCCCTGGTCCAACTGGGGGGCAGGAAGTGAGTGAGTGAGCAACTGTGTGGTGCTTAGTTGCTGGCCAGAGTCAACTCACCATAGTATCTTATGCATTAGGTCATATAATGTTAACGCTTATCAGATGAGGAACATTTTCCCAGAAACACTGTGTCACAACAGAAGAGGGCCTGCAGCTAAGAAAATGCCTTGTGGTGCATGCTACCTGACAGCTGCCCAGTTCTACACCTTTTGCTCTGGTACTCTATGTGCCAGATACATCTGACCAATACTCCACCAAACAGGTCAGCTAGCTGAATCTAGGAGGAGTGCTCAGGAAGAATACTATGGGTTCATGAAACACCAGCATGTAAACAAGGAAAGCAAGAAAGGGGTCAGGTGAACAAGTCCTGTATGATATTCGTGTTGCATATCCTGAAGAAGGAAACGTAACCCAGAAATCCCCTAACTGATGCCAAAACCAGCAGAAATTAACTGCTCAGAAACAGAATTTGATCTTTAAGCAGCAAAAGTATTTATTGCATACAACGTTGGAGAGCTACCAGTTCGCACTGGACAAAATAGCTCTGAAGTTCTCAGTGAAAAGCCAGGTAATTTATACAATTTTCATGAGAGATTACAACATTTCTACGTGCATATTCATTTGGTTTCGCAATCTAATCATATTCATAATAGGCAGAGTTTAGGCGGAGCTTGAGGCGGAGTCATCCTTTTGGGAAGATTCCTTGGGGTCGTTCTGGTTCTTCAGCCTCATGAGGGGGTCGTTTTCTTCTCCTCATTTTCAGTGAACTTTTCAACTCTTCTTTATGTCCCTGACTACGTGCTAGGGGCTTGCGAAACCCCCTTGACTCAGCTCCTTTATCTCTCCAGATGTCTATTCTATCTTCATTTATGACTACTAAGTTGACCTTTCTGTTATCCTCTATTAGAACAGAACATACCAAACATAGGCAGAACTCTTAGAGCAAGGTACCATCTCTCTCTGGACTAATCCCTTTAATACCTGTTCTCTGTCTCTGCTACCTTTTAACATAAATGCAGCATTCCTCAGAGCAAGGTCTGTACAACCTTCCTCAGAGCAAAATTCCAGCATTTAAAACTCTTGCTCTGTTTCATAACAACTCTCTAAAACAGACTTAAGATGGCTTAAGTCTACATGTCAGACTTGACAATTTTTGACTATTTAATAGATGTTTTAAATAAGTTTAAACCTAAATGTTGAGGAGTGTTTTGCAGTTGGATAGAAGAGAGATCTTAAAAGAGGTAGTTTCTTTCCTATCCATTACTGATACTGTACTTCTAGTAGAAATTCCTAAAGAATAAAAGTACATGGTTGCATTGTGTCTGTTCATTTTTTAATTCTGCATCTTCTTCCTCAATAACTTTTTTAATCAGCTAGCAAGTTCAACCAAGTCTATCAAAATGGCAGGGGCTCTAAAAATATAATGCCTGTTGTTGTCAAGAGGCCTAAATGAATGCCCTACATAAGAAAAAGACTATAGCTTGAGCTCAACTGGTGTCCAACAAAGCCAAATCAGCCCCCTCCTGCCTTCCTCCCCTTATCACAGCACATGACACTTTTTGCCTAGCCAGCAGTTAATGGACATGAAAAGGAACTCGAGGTGTTGAAGCATGAGGCAAGTCATAGGGAACATAGCAGAGATTGAGCTGATGGTATACAGAACACAAAATTGTAGGAAGAAAGATAGTCTTAGTTGTTCCCAGAACACCTATTTGGTTTTTTTGGTTTAAGTATTTGGAGACTTCCAGACACAGTCTGAACCTGCAACAAAGCTAACTAATCTCACCCTATAAACAAAAGAAAGATCTATATAGCTGCTGTGGTTATGGCTGAATCTGTCATTTGGTGATTTTTTTTTCTAAAAATAACTAAACAACATTCAAAGCCTGATTGATTTTAAAACCAAAGTGCTGTTTTGAAATAAGATATGGATTTGCAAATGTGTAAGTAAGAATCAAAATAAGCTATATCTTGTCTTGGATGCCATTACTGAACTCATATACTCTTTTCTGGATAACTGAAGCACTCAATAAACATGACAAGAAAGCACAAAGTGTTCTGAAGGAGTAAAGGTTTACTCAATTTCCAAATTAAAAGAGCAAGAACTCTCTCTGCTGCTATGTCTAGCCTCTTGGTATTTTTACATATAAAAGTCATAGACCTTAAATTATCAGGTTCCTAATACAGACATGGACTAAGAATACAATTTTTATTAATTACAGTAACAGCTGTAATTGCTACTTTATGAGCACAATTATCCATGATCCTAGAAAAGAGTGGGAAGAGTTAAAAGCATAGGCCAAAAAAAATAAATTCAACTAGAAACCATATACATTCTATTCATATCAGAAAACATCTTTCCTTTTCCAGACATACCAACACTAAAAGGAATATACAGATTGACAATACCATCACAGAATGAAGGCATCACAGGCAATTAAGGGAAAGCAGTCTATTTCTCTCATTACCCAATTTCAAAACAGAACTAAGCAACAAGAAATCTAAAACTGATTGCACGGCAAACTAATCTTCCCCTTAATAAGGAAATTCGTTAATAATTCTTTCATAAGCTATTTAAAATAGATATGCATAGAATTAGTGGGTTGTTGTGGTTTAACCCAGCAGACAGCTAAACACCACACAGACATTCAGTCACTATTCCCCAGTGGGATGCAGGAGAGAATCAGAAAAAAAGGAAAACTCATGGGTTCAGATAAAAACAGTTTAATATGACAGAAAATGAAGGGGAAATAATAATAAAGAGAATATACAAAACAAGTGATGCACAGTGCAATTGCTCACACCCTGATGACTAATGCCCAGCCAGTCCCCAAGCAAAGGGCCGCCACCCCCTGGACAACTCCTCCCATTTTTATTGTTCTGCATGACATCATGTGGTATGGAATATCCCTTTGACCAGTTTGGGTCAGTTGTCCTGGTTGTGTCCCCTCCCAGCTTCTTGGGTACTCCCAGCCTCCTCATTGGCAGGGCAGTATGAGAAGCAGAGAAGCTCTTGACTTAGTGAAAGCACTGCTCAGCAACAACTAAAACATCAGTGTGTTATCAACATTATTCTCATCCTACATCCAAAACACAGCACTGTACCAGGTACTAGGAAGAAAATTAACTCTATCCCAGACAAAACCAGGACAGTATCCACCCCTTATTCTATTCCATCTACATCATTTTCAAGTCCCACACTTTGCAATACATGCCAATTAATCACCATCACCTTTCCTGTCTTTTGATATATACACACTGAGATCATTCCCTTAGTCTATGGGTCATTCCTCTAAAATGTCCATTGAGTTCATTTAGTTCATGACTTTGGGCCCCATCTGTCATAACAGTCCTTCAGGGAAGGAGAGATGGTGTGTGGTGTTGGATTGTTGCATGCTGAAGCCAGTTCTGGTTCCATCACCTCTCCACTTGTCCGATTATATTATCGCTACACTTTGTTTGGGCTGTCCCCGGACACCCCCCGAGCACACCGTGTGGTCGGGGCTGTCCCTGGGCGCCCGCGCGCGCGGTTCAGTCCCCTGGGCACGGTT